GGCTAAAAGTTTTTAACCAGATAACCAAACTGCAGTTTAATTTAAATACAATTTAATCTTGAAAAATAATTACTAAGCAGTTGTATGACTATAGAGTGACATTAAGCCATGCCCTCTGTGTCTACAAGATCCCTAGGTAGGGATCTTGACATAAAGGCATTTACCAATTTAAAGTTTTAAATACTGTTCCTAGGAAAATAATCATTGAGACCTTTTAGTGAATTCTAAATGCTTTATATTGAATTAACCCTTTTCTCTTCAGTCATTTTGTTTTCCCCTAATTTATAAGTGTAGATGATTAGTGGATGAAATACTACTCTCCATGTTTTTGTGTAAAATGAAATGGCAGGCTCTAACTCCAGGTTCACAGTTCCTCCCTAAGGAAAATCATTTGAAGATTTTTTTTCCCTCTTACCAAACAAGTATCTGGAGAGATTAATTGTAGAGTAATGAAATCAAAGAGTGCATATTTCAGTGTTTTGATAAGGATCGTGAGACAAAAGCCAAAGGGAACCTAAATATCTGAAAATGAGTTAACAACTTCCAATGTTACCTGTTTTCTTTAGTCTATATCTGGAATATATTCTAGATTACTCCCTTGAATCTGAAAGATTATATTGCCTTTAGGTATCTTTTGAGAAACAATAACAATCTTCCACATAATTATTTGGAGGCTGAAATATACCAGGGGACAAGAGACTTGTAAATATGTCTTTTGAAAAAAGTGGGCTTGATGATGGTGCCACAAACCCTTAGGAATATTGTATATGCAAGGATGAACCATTCCATGGAGAGTTATCTACGAAGTCTAAGAGATTTTAGGTCCCAAACTCAATGCTGGAATCCAACGTCTGGTTAGATAAGATTTGGATGATATCAAGGAGTTGCTGGGTGGTACAAAAGGTGAATTCAATGTGGATGCTATGCTAAAGGTTGTAGATTCAAGTTCACTCAGAGGACAGACCTGATAATCTACTCCCCCACCACCACCACCACCCACATCAGCCATTGAAAACCCTGTGAAGACGTTCCGCCTTGACTCAGATGCTGTCAATATGAGTCACAGTCCACTCAACTATGTTGGTTTTACATATTGTTGGTTTTACATTGTTGCCTTGGAATCCGCTACAATTTTGAGAAACAAATTATCCTTGGATAAGAAATAGCAACTGAGGTTACATAAGGGATAATTTTACCTCATGTTTTAAGGCCCAACTCTTTCAAAAAAGATAGTACAAATGTACTGCAAGTTAAGCATGCTGTTCTGTGCAATGCTGATGAGACTCTAATGAATATTTTGATTCCATAACCACAGATAAATGTGGAAAATATAAAGAGAAAAAAGGCAGGAACAGTTAGGAAAACTATACTGCTTGCCTAGGAGACCCAGTAAACTTTAAACTTATGAATAAATACTCAAGAGGAAATGACAACCTTTTGTGTTCTATTTTTGCAGGAAACAAAATATACAGCAGCTATACCTGTAAGGGTTTGCACTAAAAGTAGGAGACAGTTTCTACACCATGAAATTTCTGAATTAAGAGGAGTAAAAGCTAAAAGAAGTTGTGAAGATTACTTATTCAATTGGTAGTCATTAAATTAAAAAATGAAATGGAACACATAAAGATGATACTCTAGGCATTAATGAGCTGAAATGGACTGAAATTGGATATTTTGAATCAGAAGATCCTATGATTTACCATGCTGGAAATGAAACAATCAAGAGGAATGCCATTGCTTTCATCATCAAAACTAACATGTCAAGATCTATGCTGAAATACAATGTTGTCTGTGATAAAATTATGTCTATCCAAATTAAGGAAACCTAATCAATGCAACTATTATTCAAATTTAGGCACCAACCACTAAAGCTAATGATAGAGAAACTGAAGAATACTATCAGTGACTTCAGTCTGAAATTGATCAAACATACAGTCAAGATGCATTAAAAATGATTGGGCACTGGAATGCAAAAGTTGGAAATAAAGAGGAATGAACATTAGTTGGAAAACATGGACTTGGTTATAGAAATAAAGCTGGGGATTGCATAACAGAATTTAGCAAAACCAAGATTTGTTCATAGTAAATACCTTTTTTCAACAACACAAAATGTGGCTATTCACATGGACTTCTCCAGATGGAATACACAGAAATCAAGTTGACTACATCTTTGGGAAGAGGCCATGGACAAGTTCAATATCAGCAGCTGAAAGCAGGTCACTGGCTGACTATGGGACAGATGGTTGATTGCTCATATGTAAGTTCAGGTTGAAGCTGAAGAAAATTCAAACAAATCCATAGGAGCCACAATACTATCCTACCCAAATCTCTATCCCACCTGAATTTCAAGAAGAAATTTATAAGAATACATGGAACAAGTAAGATCATTGCTGGTATCAGATGGATCTTGGCTGAAAGCAGAGAATATCAGAAATATGTTTATTTTTTTTAATTGACTATAAAAATCATTTGTGTGTACCATAACACCTCTGAAAAGCCCTGAGAACCATGGGAATTCCAGAACATTTCATGTGCTCATGGGAAATTGTACATGGATCAAGAGGCAGTTTTGTGAACAAAATAAAGGAATACTGTCTGGTTTAAAACCAGGAAAAAGGTGTATCTGGGTTGTATCCCCTCACCATATTTATTGAATTTGTATGTTGAGAAATAGAGAAGCTGGATTATATGAAGCAGAATATGATATCAGGATTGGAAGAAGGCTTATTAACTACCTATACTATACACATGACATGACCTTGCTTGTTGAAAGGGAAGAGGATGAAATACTTACTGATGAAGATATCCTTTATACCATGTTCTTTTCTGAATTTTACCAGAACCCCTGGCAGCTCCCTTTCAATGTACTGCTTCAATCATTGTTGGGTGCTCTTCAGTAAAATTTTACTTGCAAAGTCAGATCATATTTCTATAAGACTAAATTTCTTGGCTTAGATTCCCTTTAAGAAATCTACACTTCTACCAGTTTCCTAATTAGGAAACTTCCAGGATATTCATTTATTTATTTAGTAGATTATTTATAGCCCTACTATGTGCTGGTACAACATGAATTCTAGTTGTGTCATGGTGAGCAAGAATATACAGGTGTGACCCTCAGCAATCATCTGGAGAGAGAAATAGATATCAATAATCACCGAAACAGAAACCTGTACCTCTGATAATACTTCAACAGAGAGACATGGGTATATGATGCAATGAGAGTTACTAATACAGGAATGAGGGAATGAGCAGGTCAAGAATTCTCAGAGAGGGTTTCTTTGTGGAAAAACCATGTGAGCCTAGATCAGAATGATAAATCACAATTACCTACTGGAGATGGAAGAGCAGCAGAAGAAGACAGCTTATGGAAATGCTCTATGGTGGGAGGGAGCATTGGCCTGGCAACAAAAAAGAAGATATAACCACAAATCTGCTTTAGAGGCAACTGGGAGAGTGGGGCTGTCACACAGCAAGTGGGGAAAGCCTCAGGGGAAATGAGGTTGCAGAAATATCCACGTAAATAGAAAGACACTACAATGTTCTAACCCAGGGATGATATGGTCACATTTGTGCTAGGAGAAGTATACATTCAGCCCAGTTGTAAAACTTGAGGGGAAAAGGAACCATAGTCAGTAAGGTCGGAAGCTTTCATGGGAATTTTTATTGAAGATTAACAGGGATGAATGCTTTCAAAAGGAGATGAGTAAACTTATTTGGTACTCAGAAGGTGAAAAACTATGTCAAACTGATGGATTAAAAAGGGAAATGAAGTATGTGGATGTGGGAAGGAGGGTGCAGACACGAATTGCAGTTTCTATTTTGAGTATCTTCATAATTCATCTCCCACCTTGGCCAGCCATCTGACAGCAGCTTTGTGACCACTCAGCTGCAGGGCATCCAATAGGAAGGAAAGACCTTTACCATAATGTGCCGGGAGAATAACTAAGATATATTTCTTTCCCCCGTACGATGTACTTAAGTTCAGATAAAGTAAAACTAAAATAATGAAAAAAATAATAAATAAAATAAAAAATATAATCTAGTGAGTAACTTAGAGGTACCTAAATGTAGCCACTTTCATGGGTTGTACAACAAGTTTAGAAGGTCAACTTACAAGGGTCACATTGCCTCACCACATAACTCATGTATGTAGGTGCTTCTTGACGTTAAGGACCAGTTACCCACAGTTCTAAAAAATGATAATGTCTTCCTCCATCTATTATAAATTTCTCATTCCTAATTTACTTCCCCCAAATCATCTTTTTCCCATAATTAACTATGCACTTCCATCAGGGAAAATTTGACAATCTGGGGATAAGGGCATGATCTTCTCTTGTGACTTCAATGGGTCAATTGGTAGAGAATAAGCTATGAACATAGTCTAGAATGTTGAGGTATAAATAATACTCTGTAGTTGAGTCTTGGACTTTTGTGTGCCATTATCATATTTGTATTTCAGAAAATGTCTTCTGCTGAAATATGAAAAGTGGGTGCTAGAGGAAGAAGGCTGCACATGTAAAGATCAGTGATAGATTTCTGCATCCATTCTAAGACGATTATGTGAGAACTTGAACCACAACAGTGAAAATGGTAGTGAAAAGATTCAGTTAAAAAAAACATAAAGGCTTTATGAAGGCAGTACATCATAATAATTAACAGTCAAGCCTTTTTTTAGGAAAAAAGCCTGGTCTCCAGACTTGGCTCATTACATTCCACTAATGTGAATTGGAAAAAGTAATTCATTCCACTAAACTCACTTCTCTCATCTGTCAAGTGAGAATGAAAATACCTGCATCACTAGATTGTTATGAGGATTAAATGAGATAATGATACAAAGCATTTTGTCTAGTGGATAAATTTTAAATAAATATGAGCTACAAATACAAATAAGAATCATGATGTTAATACTTATTATGATGAGATTTTTGTGACTGTTTATGAGTCGCAATAAAAAATAGGAAAACAAAATGAACCCTGTTGTCTTCATTTCTGATTTACAGATCTGCTTTGGAACCACCAAACATTTCATTGAGAAAGACATTTGATGGACAAAACTTGGTGAGTTTACAGTTTGTGTTTCCTGGTGTTTGGGTGCTTTTATTTATTTTTGTTTGTTTGGTGCTTTTAAATAGCCAAGTATACAATAGTTAACTACCACTCATGAAGATGTGGGAGAGGTGGCTTTGTTAGTGATGAGGATGTTTTGATAATCATAGCCACTGACAACCCAGTAAGACTCAAATATGTAAGAGATTGAGGTGAAACAAGAGCCAAAGAATCACACAGAACAGCCATGGGCAGAGCCTTGAAGAAGGACTTGTTAGGGGTGGGCAAATAACGTCTTTGGAAAGAATCCTGAGTGAAAGAAAGGGTCAGAGGGGTAACACAAACAAAGGATATGGTGATGTCTCCCAAGTCAAAGCAGGAAAGAATACTAAGATAGGACCATTAAGTAATAACAGTATCACAGCTAATTTTTAGTAAAATGCAAAAAAGATTCATTACATTTATCAATTAAGGTGCTACAAACTACCTTGGAAAATTCAACCTCAATGAAGAACTGGTAGGAATCAAAAGGATACTTAAAAAGAGTATAAAAACTCAAACTCACTTCCATCAAGTTGATTCTGACTCACAGCGATCCTAAAGGACAAAGTAGAACTGTCACTGTGAGTTTTGAAGGCTAAAACCTTATTAGCCTCATCCTTTTCCTATGGAGTAGCAGTGGTTTTGAACTGCTGACCTGAGAGTTAGCAACCCAGCATGTAACCACTGCACCACTAGGGGCTCTTTTACATAGGCTGGGGGTGAATTATTGAATATATATATATTCACTAGCCATTCTATGGAGGAATGATGTAGCACTTTCCTCTGGTACAAATTTACAGCTGTGGAAATCCAAAGAGGTGGTTCTTCTGTGATGTATAGGGTCAGTGTGAGTCAGAATTGACCCTGTGGTAGTGAATTTAGGGAGTTTTGAGGGGAAATAGTGGCAACTACCATGTTATTTTTCTAGACTTCTCATATTACAATATTTTTTAAATGCCAGGAAATTGACAGTATATATTACAATGTGCATTTAAAGAAGTAGCAAAGCCTCAATCAGTTGCTATATAGATGCACTTGGGTTTAAAATGCAGCTTACATAGATGAAACAGGACATGTGGTTCATTGCACACTGCACAGAAGGTAAATGAAGTGTATATTTTCCGATCACAATTGGAATTTTAAGTGAGTGGAATGGAATAAACTCAGTTTGGAATTTGAAATAAATTCAGCTTGGAATGTGTCTCAGAGACCAACGTTTACACAAGAGCTGTACAAACTTCTCAATGTGAAACATGACACAAGGTGAAATTTTCCTGGCACCCCAGAGCCAGATATGGATTTTTAAAGGACTAAGGCACAGGAGTTCAGTAAAGAACTATTTGTTTCTATTTGGGCAAGGAAATATGAATGCTTATATGATTGAAAACAATATTTCACCTGGAAGAAGAAATTGTTTACCCTTTCTCAGAACCCGATAATTTTGTTTGGCATTATCAATGACATATTTTCATCTAATACCCATTTGGGGTCTCTTTTTGCTTTTGTAGTTTTAAGTAGATTTATATGTCACACAGGGGAGTACTTATTTGCAGAAGTGGGAAGTGACTGAGAGAAACACATGGAAAGAGTTAACTTCCAATCATTCAGAAGTAAACACTAGTTGCAGCTTACCTGCAGTGTTGCCAAAGCTGTTTTCACAGACAGATTCTCATGAGATTTGGTGGGGATCTTGAAGAGGAATAGACTTTGTATGTGAAGCTCAGGACACATGTGATACCTAGAAATAAATATTTTTCTAAGGTAAGTTCAAGGACATAAGACTTTTGATCTGCAAATAGCTGGTTTTATGGAGGTGGGGTGGGTAGGGTAAGAAATATTGAGGACCCGGGGAGATGCTGAACATCCTGGAGAAAGGATGGCTTTGGAATAGAGGAGACAGGCAAATGAGTGTAGGTCTGTGGGTTATACATGCAGAGTGGGAGTTTGAGCATTCATGTAATGATGATTTCCTTGGCTCTAAGAATGCAGGATTTGCTGAATTAGTAACCAGTTTTAATAGTTTGCTTGTTGTGAGCTTATAGTTGTGTAGAATTGTTTTTTTTCAATTGCATGCTATACTTTTCCGTATATTGTAGAATGTACTGCATAGTACACTTTCCATGCATTTATACTGCTTAAAGATGGCAGCTTGGGAATATTTAGCTCTAGTTTGCATTCCGGTTTAAACAAGATAAACTAGAACAAAAACAAAAACCCTCAGCTATCTAGTTGACTCTGACTCATAGCGAACTTGTAGGTCAAAGTAGAAACCCCACAAGGTTTCCCAGATTGTAAATCTCTATAGAAGCAAGCTGCCACACCTTTCTCTGGTGGAGTGGCTAGTGGGTTCTGATTAACAGCCTGTCAGTTTTTGGCTAAGCACTTTAAACCACTGTGCCACCAGGGTTCCAGAAAACCAAGATATAGTGCCCTATAATTTGGCAAATATTTGTTTCCTGGCAGTGATGAACCTACCAGTTTGATGGTTTACAATGTTTACAATTGCCACTGCTTGCAGCTTTATTTTTATCCCCAGATTAGACTCAAAGTAAGCTGATTTTATCAAGCCACAGGGTAATTCTGACTATCTCATCTGGTTGTTTTGATACAGTGTTGTTACAACTGACCTGTATATGTAGAGAATTACTAGGTCACCACCTCATGGAAATGTCTTTTAATTATGACACTGACAGCATGTGTCCACTGAAGTTAAGGGGGGAAAGAACTGCATGCTTTACTTGAATGCCAAATCTAGTTACATGAAAATGGGGTTTTAGATATGGTCAGATTATAGCTCCTTAAATGTTAGTCAGGTACAAAAACTCAGTGTAAAAAAAAAAGAAGAAAAAACAGCGTAGAAACAAGAGGTTTTTGAGGAACAACTGAACACTCAGATGTAGCAAGTATGTCCTTCAAACCACATCCTTCCTGTTGCCCGTGGGAAAGGTGTGGTATTTGTGTTGCATGCAGAGTAGATATGTGTGTGTTTCCATAAATAAAAGGATATTATGTGTGTGTTTGACTTTTGTGATGGCAAGATCAATAGATTACTCTGAAAATTTTTGTTCCAGCTCAAGGATCAGCAGATTTTAAAAATCTGCACTAGGAGCAGAGTATTTAAAATGCGAATGACCCATGATGGCATTCCTGGTGAAAAGCAGAACTGACACTTGCAAACGATGTTGTATCTATGCTGTTATTCTACTTACAATGGCTCAGTGGAAAAGACTTGACATATGTACCAATCTTTGGACTAATGAGCCATATTGTAATAATTTTTGAAATATTTTGTGTTCCTTTAATGAGTTCCATCCAAAATATATAGGATAAGAGTATATATTGCACTAAAACTGAAACCTTCCCTAGGTTACTTTCTTTGCTCCTATTGTTCATAATTTGCTCAGGTTGCCAGGTTAACAAATCAGCAGAGGATTAATGGATTTGTCATTTATTCAGGGACAAAATAGCACTCTCCTGAAAACAAAAAGTTAAAATTAAAAGTTGTAGGAAAGATTACACTTGTGTTATTATAATTAAAGAGGTCATGAAACCCTCAACTTTAGCAAGCCAGAACTTTCTATCTTGCAAGTCGCTATCACGTGAACAAAGATCAACCTGTGAACATATTCCGAATGCTCTAGAGATTTTAAGATGCTTAATCCCGAACATAATGAGGTTTTGTCTATAGACAAACATGTTAGAAATGATTAGTATCGTTAAGTCTTCTTATATACAATAAAGGAAGTCATCACCTTGAATATAATAAAAACAAAAATAACTGATTGAACATCTGTAAAAAGAGTGATTTTTTTGGAGAGGCAATATGCACTTTTTAATTTAATTTGTGTTTCATTTGAACCCAATTAAAATTGATTTGAGGACAATATGTATTTAAGTTAGTATTTCCATACAATAGTGTAGTACGAGTTCTTACTGTGGAGTTTTAAGTATTCAGAATTTTATTCAATTATCCAATTAGAAGAATACTGAATTGAAAGATTTGAAACGCAATAAAACCCCAAAGTCTGTACAATATAATGCTGATTATGTCTAAGAAACTCCAGTGTCTTTTTAATTCTTATAACCAATATAGGTAAAGGCACCTACCTGATTCTGAGTGAAATTCCTTTTAGAAAGAACCAAACCAGCTCACTGCCATGGAGTCAATATTGACTCATATCAACTCTGTAGGACAGGCTACAACTGCCCCTGTGCATTTCCAAGACTGCAAGTCTACAGGAGTAGAAATCCCCATCTTTCTCCTGAGCAGTGGCGACTGTTTTCTAAGTGCTGACCTTGAGGGTCAAAGCCCAATGGTAACCATTACTCCACCAGGGCTCATTTTTTTAGAGTGAGAGAACGCGGACTACAAAAGATGAGATTGGTGATAGAAGTGGAAGAAACGCCTTTTCTCCAGTTCACTTTAGTAGGTGCCTCTTCCTAATGTACAGTGCATCTACTTAGAATAGAATCCCAAGTACTACAAGATCAAGTGGAATCTTACATATTTAAATGATAGGCATAGCATTAAAACAGGTGTAATTGAGCAATTATTGTCTTAAGGACCTTTCAGAACTCAAAACCCAACTTAATGCTGTCTGTCGAAGCCCTCTCATAGCAACCCTACAGGACAGGGCAGAACTGCCCCCTAGAGGTTCTGTGATTGTAACTCTTTACAGGAGTAGAAAGCCCTTTCTTTCTCCCAGTGAACAGCTGGTGGTTTCTGAATGCATAACCAGGACACTTATGACATAATAAAAATTGCATTCCATGGACGGTATAAATGCATTTTAAAATATAGGCTACTGAGAGTTTTATGCTAAAAGTAAGCAAAAATAAAACTGTATATTCTGATGAAGTTTTCACACTCAAAAAAAATCTTTCTAACAGATTACAAAGAACTGACATGATATCAATCTAAATGAAGGATATTTTATTGAAATAGTCCCTACAATACCAATTCACAATTC